ATTTGCTAAACCAATTTGACAAATTAGATAATAAACTCAATTTTTACATTTCCTAGCAAATGTACTTTGTCTAGGAAGTCTACTTGTTTTTTGGACCTGAATCATATTTTGCATAATTAATTAATGATTAAACATTCATATTCTTTTAAAAATGGAGCATTCAATATATATATATAAGAAAATAAAACTTATAAACACAAAATAAGGCATGACGCCAAAAAATATATATTAAGATTTGCAATAAAGTCATTTTTTTTAATATATATATAAAATAATTAAGGTTAATTTTCAGTAAAGTGTATTTTTATTCACTGTCCAATGACTTTGAGATTTTGGTTTCTATTCTTTTATTCGTACTTATATTGACTATCACTACATAAAATGGTAATGGGCATTTGGTCTAGTGGTATGATTCTCGCTTAGGGTGCGAGAGGTCCCGAGTTCAATTCTCGGAATGCCCCATACATTTTTTTCGATTTTGCTATTTTTTTTTTTTTTTTTGTTGTGGAAAACAGAGTTTGAATGCTCATATAGATGACATTAGCAAATAAAGATAAAGTATGCCTTGTAGCATATATAGTATATGAATTAGAAAACTCAATTAACAGTGTTAATTTTTCATCAAATTAACATCATGTTTTAAGAAAACGATGGGAAAAATTGGTGCGATTCCACGCATATGAAGCGCATAAAGACATTAAATGCTCAGATGAAGTCCAATTTAGGTTTCATCTTAAAACTAATTGGTGGAAGGAGAAGTAGTCCCTAGACTTATAAATTAGATCTGCTTCCCTATATAAACGATGCGAGACAACTCACAAGTGAATATTCTAATACGCCCCTCACTTCCGAGTCCTTCATAAGAAGCCTAAACCCATATACGGAGTTGGGTGCCCAAGGCCAAATGAGCTGGGAAACAGGTACGTCATCGCATGTTCACATGTGAATATTTTAGTACGCCCTCTCACTTGTGAGTCCTTTATAAGAAGACTAAGCCCATATACGGAGGTGCCCAAGTCCAAATGAGCTGGGAAACAAGTACGTCATCGCACGGTCCCAATAGAACCGACTCTGATACCATGTAAGAAACGAGAGAAAAAACAGGTGTGGTCCCACGGAAATGAAGTACACCAAGACAAGAAAAGCTAGATGAAGCTCAAGTGAGTTTTCATCCCAAAACCAATTGGTGGAAGGAGGAGTAACCCACTAGACTTATAAATTAAGTTTGTTTTCCCTGTATAAACGAGGTGGGACAACAAGTTAATATTCTAATACATGTGTTAGAATAGTTTGCAAAACAAAAACTAAGGCCCACCGAGGATTTTTGCAATTTTGAATGATTAATTAAATGAATTTCTATATAAATATACATGAATAAATTATATATATGCTATAATTTTAGAAACATTTTGCATAAGTATTAACCTTTTTTTATAAATAATGCACATATACGTAAAAGATACACATCTACTGTAAATTTACCGACCATTGTTTCTTTTAGTTTAGTTTATTTGTAATTTTATAATAAGTTTATATTATTAAATCTCTTTACATGGCTAAAAGATATTGTTCATATATCAAACACAAATGATTAATAATCGTTAACTAAACATTGAAATCCAAAAATTCACATAAAATTTACACCGTCAACTTTTCAAATAAACCCCCAAATTCACCACAAAATTCACGATCGTCAGACACCCTAGAAATCTCCCAAGCAAAATCCTTCAACCCCAACAAAACTACAGACCGAACAAAGAAAAAGAGAAATGACCTCTTGTCTTCAAAAAACCAAACCCTAATTTCTATAAGCTAGAGAGATACTGAGCACGTCATTGGCGGATCGAAATTTTCCGCCAGATTGGAGATTCGACGGATTAAATGGAGACCCGAACAAGATTTAAAAAATCACTGCAGATCGAGGAGGAGAAAGGGGAAATTGGGAGAAACTAGGGGGTATGTTGGGAAATATTGAGATTTTCTATATTTCGTGAAATTGGGAGAAAATTAGGAGATTTTCATGAAATGTTTCTAAATTTCACCTAAATAGTCAAAAATTGAGGTGAATAGATTCTGTAAATCATGTAACTTCCCCGGCACGCTTTCTCGATTGGGTGGGTAAAGCCCGAATCCGAAGGTTTCTGGGCTCCGGCATTTGTCGCCGGCGGTCGCGACTAGGCCGCCCCCACCAGCCCGAAGCAGCCGTTTGCCGCTGCTCACAAGCGCAGTCCGTCGACCGCAGCCATCACCGAATTTGGGGTCTCCAGAGGAAATCAGATGAAGAGCAGGAGAGGGTGCCTTGTGTGTGTGTTTTTCTTAAAACAACACAAGAATGGGAAAAAAAAAAATGAAAGAGAGAGAAGAGAGACGAAATAGAGGAGAGAATAGAAGAAAAAACAAAGAGCAGCTGTTTGAACTTTGACCCATGCGGCAGATTGATTTCTTCATTAGGAAAAGAATTTGTGAGTTTTGATGTTGAAGAGAAAAGCAGACACAAGTTAGCATTTGAAATCGACACATGGCTTGTGTCCAAGAGCCAAATTCCTTCAAAGAGTCGATCGGACTCAAAGGTTCTGAAAGAACACAACCCCATTTCGATCCACAATAGGCTAGACTAGGAAAACCTGAATGTTTTCTCAGCACCCGTTATGCTATTCCTATATGACCCACACAAATCCTCTTTTGCTGCAACTAAAATATGAATAAGTATGTGTGTTGAAATGTTGATGAGAAAAAGCAGCCCACATTTAGCAATTAAACGCGACACATAGGTTGTGTCCAAAGTGCGGTTATGAAGAGAAAAACGTTGAAGTCCAATTTTTGCCAACACGGTGGAGCTACTAAAACCAAAGATGAATTTTAATGCTAGATCATATTGACAACAAATCATGCACAAACAGAAATATTGATTGAAGATTGCCCCAAAATTGACTCTCTAATAGTAATACCAAGTCCATTGATAAGCTACAACAATAAACAAGGCAATTGTCAAATTTCCATCTATCTTGTTCATGACCATAATAAAGACATTAAAGCAGCAAACATATTTAATATAATGCACCTTGTAAACCTTGTAAAACTTAGGTGAGGTAATTTAGCCGTTAGGCGGGTCGACCCGTCATACTATGTGAACAAAACAACATACTTATACAATCAAATGTCATACTTATGTTTATGTTTTTTACAGTATGTCATTTTCTAATGAAAGTATGTATAATTGTAAAAAAGTATGCTGGTTATACCAGCCTAATTAGAAGGCCTACG